GTGTGTCTCGCAGGTGGCACTTCCTTACACCAGCAAGAGCTGCATGCGGGCGGTGCTGGAGTACCTCTACACCGGGCAGTTCAGCTCCAGCCCCGACCTCGATGACATGAAGCTCATCATCCTTGCCAACCGCCTCTGCCTGCCGCACCTGGTGGCTCTCACCGGTGAGTCAGGGTGGCTGCAAGCGGGACAGTGTCCCGCCCATCCCCGACCTCGGTGGCAGCCCAGTGCTCCCGCTGTCACCCCGTCCTAACCGCCCTGTAACCCCCTGTGTCCCCCACAGAGCAGTACACCGTCACCGGCCTGATGGAGGCGGCGCAGATGATGGTGGACATCGATGGGGACGTGCTCGTGTTCCTGGAGCTGGCTCAGGTAGGACACGGTGGGACAGGACCCGTGCCGGCAGGGCTGGGGCGAGGTGCTGGGTGGTGCCTTGCAGAGGGGTCTGGCAGCTCCGGGGGGGTGATGCTGTCCTGGCAGAGAGGGCAACCGGGTCTGGTCTTGGATGTCTGTGGAGGAATAGGGGTAATTCCTCCTGCTTCCCTGGTGGTCCGTGCCGTGGTGGCTCTGACGTGGGCTCCATCTCTTCCAGTTTCACTGCGCCTACCAGCTCGCCGACTGGTGCCTCCATCACATCTGCACCAACTACAACAACGTCTGCCGCAAGTTCCCCCGGGACATGAAGGCCATGTCAGGAGGTGAGTGGGGGCCGGGGTGGGATGACGGGGGTCCTGGTGGCCCTGGCACTGCCCTCCCTGCCCTTCTCCCTGCAGAGAACCAGGAGTACTTCGAGAAGCACCGCTGGCCACCAGTGTGGTACCTGAAGGAGGAGGATCACTACCAGCGGGCGAAGAAGGAGCGGGAGAAGGAAGACTACCTCCACCTCAAACGGCAGCCCAAGAGGCGATGGCTCTTCTGGAACGCCTCCTCCTCCCCTTCCTCCTCTCCTTCATCGTCGGCAGCCACAGCCTCCTCTTCTTCCTCCTCCTCCTCCTCCTCAGCTGTGGTTTGAAAGCCCATCCTTGCCCTGGCTCCAGCATCCCTGGGAGGAAACGGGGAGGAGGAGGAGGAGGAGGAGGAGAGGGGCGGAATGCCCTGCCCCAGTGCCAGGCGTGGAGCAGACGCCTCCGGCCGAAGCCCTAGAGGAGACGGCGGTAGCAGGGGCCCATCCCTGCAGAGGGGCTCGGGGCGGGGCGCCAGCCCCCAGCGCTCCTGGAGCCCTGCTCTCCCCGCGCCGCGGCTGCCAGCGCGCTGCAGGACTGGCAGAGACCGAGCAGCAGGAGAAACTCATGTTTACAGGAGCACGAGGGCTGTGTTGTGGTTTTGTTTGGGTTTGGTTTTTTTTTTCTTTTTTTAACATCAGCAGCATGAGGAAGAAGAAGAAACCCATCCCCCTTCCACTTTAATTTGTAACCAGAAGCTGCAGGATATGATTTGTCTGTCTGATGGCATCTTGCCGCCCTGGGCAGCCGGAGCCGCTGGGGGGGGGTCCTGCCGCCCCCTTCGACTTGCAGCAGGGTCAGGCACGGTGCAGGGGGTCCCGGTCCCCAAATACCTCTAGGCACTGCAGCATCCCTCCTTCTACTCACAAGTGGGGTCTGTCGTAATTCGGGGAGCGGGAGGGGACAGGAGCCCTCTCCTCCCTGCCTCTTAACTTTTCATTTTTGTTTAAAAAGAAAGCTTAAAGCAAAAAAGCCAAAAACCAACCCCAAACCCACCCCCCTCAACCTGCCACACCAGAAACCAACCCCAGGCCCTTGGCTTGGGATTTTAGCCTGGAAGGTTCCATTGTAATAAATGGTATTTTAAAAGCCCAGTGTGGTCCCTGTGTGTTTGGGAGGAAGCGGCTGGACACGGGGCATCCTTGTGCCCTGCTTGGGGTGACACCAGCACCCCCCCACCAGCGCTCCCGGGATGGACAGGGACAGCAGAGAAGCGTTGCAGGATCCAGCCATCGAAAAACCTTGTGCAACGAGAGGTGGCTTTACCGTTGGGCTAACTTTGCACGTCCCACCTGTGTCCTTGCAGGTGCACAAACACAGCGGGTACCGGCAGGAGAAGGCAGCATGGCCTCAGGGCTTTGCGAGACTGCCAGGCAGGGCAGGTGAGCAGGAGGGACCCAAACCTCCCCTCGCCCTCCCCAGCCGGGAAGGGGAAAGCTCCTTTGAGAACATCCCCAGCAGAGGCTGCTGCTGGAGCGAGTGCGTAGGGATGCTCCCGGCAGGGATGCTCCCGGCGGTGTCCCCTCCCGCTCCGCATTGCTCCTCTTCCCGGCTGGCTTCGGTAGAGCACCTTGGAGTCACTCGTTTCGCATGCTCATCCTCAGCCACGGATGCAGGAGCAAGGTTGCAGCTCCAGCGAGCTTACACTCGGTGTTCTCACACTTTGCAGCACCGGCGAGCAGGTAGGACGACAAGTTTCTTTCCCTTTTGAATCTGGGCGCTCACCGCTGCTTCCGAGTCCTGTTCACTTTTCCCAGGCCAGGACCCGAGCCCCTGTGTCCCGGCACTAAATCCTGCACGTGCCTGGCTCTGCAGGAGCTCCTCGCCCAGGTTTGCATGCTCGGGAGGCCCACGGGGGCTGCCCGGGACAGGACCTCAGGCATGAAGCCTCCTGGCAGGTCACCAAAAGCTCCTGCTTTTAGCGCTTGCCCCAGACCTGCGTTATCGATAAAGCCAACTGCAGTGCGAAGGCTGGCGGGCAGCTCAAGGGGGCTTCCTGGGGTGAGCGGAGCCCCTTTCTCACCAAGCACTGCATGGATTTGCAACACAGCTATTGCAACACACAGAGCCCTGGCTCGGTACAGCCAGAGCGGGGAGTACCACGGCCTCCCCCGGCAGCAGCAGTTTCGTCACGGGGGTCAGCAGCATCACTTGGCCCTGGGGTCCCAGCCCCTGCACGCTCAAGGGACTGAGGCGTCCTACTTTTGCAGGTGACTAAAGAGCACAGGACTCATGGTGTAGGTGTAAAGGCAGAGCCCAGGTTTGCTGCTGAGGACTTTCCCTGGCGAAAGCATCGCTGGTGGGGACCATTCCCGGCAGGATGCCGGTGTGGCAGAGCACTAACGCCATGGGCTGGGTCCTCAGTGCCACGCAGAGCAACTGCTGAGCATCTGGTCCAGCTCCTTCAGTGCCCACTGAAACCTAGAACAAAACCATGTCCAGTGGTATGGCAGGGCAAGGCGGGGAAAAAAAAAAAAGAAAGATGAGAAATCAGGAGGATTTTTTAAAAGTTTATTCTTCCTTCATAAAGAGAAATGTAAAAACCTGGAAATAGCAAACTGGCTGGGCCAGAGCTCTGTATAAAAACAGTCATGCATAGTAAAAAACAATACTATTTTTATATTAGCTTTTAAGTTAATATATGTACACGTTTACAATTACTAAATAAATACATAAATATAAACTTTCTGCTTGCATTGTGTTGGTGAGGAGAGGGCAGAAGGGACAGCAGCGGGAGGGACCGGCGCTTCGCAGCACAGGGCAGCCCTGGCTGCGGAGAGGGGCTGGCGATGCTCCTCGCGCTCTCCCACCGTGCTGGGGAAGGTCCTGGTGGGCTGGGCTGTACCGGGGTGGCAGCACATGTAGCCAGCTCAAGTAACGCAGGATTTTTCCAGCCAGGTTGTCCCTGAGCTATGTGTGAGAGCCAGAGCAAGGGGCAAAGTGTTCGAGGAGCAACCCATCCAGCTGGAGGATGGATGGCGGGTACCCACAGTCACGCTCGGACCTCAGTGCATTCACCTTTCCATGCTGGCTGGAGACAGACAGGGACAGCAACGCCATCCCACGGCCAAGGGAATAGGAACTAACTGACTTGACCAAGGTCATGGAGAAGGAGGTTTCCGGCACACCGATAGTTTGCTGCCCACGTTCCCCGTCCTGCTCCAAGGAGGAGCTCACTCGCTCCCTGCACTGACCGTTTTTTTAGGCAACCCCAGTGATCACAGAGCAAGTAAATCATTCCCACCCTGCCCTCAAAAGTCCAGTTTCAAACTGATTCCTAATAGCAAGCAGAACTACTAACAGCTAAAACACAATTCAGTTGGCAGCTTTGAGAAACTAACCCAAGAACCCAGTTAATCCTTGCCCACCAAGCATACAGTATTAAGCTTGCTGGCCAGCTTAGAGATGTTCTACAAGCAGAAGCCATTGCATGATGCCAGGAACCCCCCCAAAAAAGCATGATCCCGTTAAAAACCACAGGGATGCCCTGCAAAGGCCCTTCTCTGCACTGATCCTGAAGACATCCGTATAGTACCAAGTGCTTCCAAGAGAGACAGCCCCAGAGGCAGCTTGCAATGGTTTTAGGCTCTTTGCATTGACCCAGTGAAATCAAGACACCAGCTTGGATTTCATAAGGAAGCACCGACATCGAGCCTGTAGCTTCAGCAGAGTTGACCACAAGGCTTGTACTTCATGAGAGGTTCAACTCCACTAGGTTCAGCTGAACTGTACAATGGCTTCAGAAAAGAAAAGTTACAGGAGAGCTATAAAAAGATAAAACTCAAGTTTCTTGACAAGTTTCTAAAACAAGTGTTCTTGGAGGTATTTATGATTTCAGCTTGAAGTGGGGAGATGCAGGGCCTGCCCTGCTCCTCAGCTCACTTCATATTGGAAAGATCCCTGCTGGACCAGCTTGGAGGAGATGTCCTCTGCAATCCCTCCGAGATTGATCTGGTGCAGGGTCTCCAGCAGTGTGTTCAC